GCACGTTACCACAATCATCCAGATGAAGCAAGCAGCATCAAGTGGCTCAGTCTCCATGACGGTTCAGTTCCTGCGGCAAAATTGATAACAGCCTCTAAAGAAGAGCCCAGCAAGGAAATTAAATGTTTTTTTTTGCAAAAGGAGAACTTAGTTATTCATTAATTCTCGCTCCTTCAGATACACAAGGGTTTGTGTTTATAGGCAAAGGCCGAATCAGTTGTGGTGGCAAACAGACCGAAGTGAATAAATTAATAACAATGATCACCCCCTGGGTAGCAGACAAATCTTACACCATAGCACAGTGTAATTTGAACGCCACTTCAAACAAACAAACAAACAAACAAACAAACAAACAAACAAACAAATAAACAAACAAACAAACAACAAAATAGTTCCAGAAGTTACGACGTGATATTTGCGGTTTCGTTCTTGTCAAATGATCACATATAAAGCTATTGTGAAATAGTTGCATTCTTATCATAGTTTTTAATCATCATAAAGGTATCTTTTGATTATTTTGAAAATAGAAATCGTCAGCATAAGAAGTAAGAATATTCACATATAAAGCGGCAGCAGACCGAAATCTTACACTGTGGCACAGTGTAAGTTGAACGCCACTTCAAACAAACAAACAAACAAACAAACAAACAACAAAATATTTCCAGAAGTTACGACGTGATATTTGCGGTTTCGTTCTTGTCAAATGATCACATAAAGCTATTGTGAAATAGTTGCATTCTTATCATAGTTTTTAATCATCATAAAGGTATCTTTTGATTATTTTGAAAACAGAAATCGTCAGCATAAGAAGTAAGAATATTATGAATAGAAATCGTGCACACTAGGCTTTGAACGATAAAATTCATGTCACATTCATTCATTCACGTCTTTATCCGCAGTTCAAATATATGACATTCATATATTCTTAACCGTTTAAAATTCATGTTGTTGTTTTTATTTCGCTGCTCCTACATTCCTCGTTCATGTTTTTCTTCAAATTTTTTATTGTTGATGTTTATGTTCATCTTGCATTTCGTTTCTTTATGGTATATTTTTGTCTACTTGTTGATGTGGTTTTTCTTTGTCCGGCCTTTTTTTCTCTTACTCTTCCTCTTTTTTTTTTTCCTCATTCTGCTTCACAGCTTCTCCTTTTTCAAAAAATTGTTTCCTATTTGCTCGTGATGTTTAACACCTTTTTACAATTCTTTCATCTATTCATTTATTTATGTGTTGCCACAGATCCACGAGAACCTAATTATCAATTATAGGAGGGCAATCCTTTTGGCGACATTCATGCCTGGTTTACGTCAAACAAAAGGTAACATATTCATCTCGTAATCATTATGGTTAAGATCACCAGCTTTCTTTGTAAGGCCAATATAAGAGCGTCGTGTTTACCTTGCAAGCGGAAGCATCCTTATGGGCTGAGGCAAAGGCAAATTTAACTCGTGTTTGTCTATCACAAGTTCGAGTGCAGGTATAATTTTTTTTTTCTCACCGTGTTAGTCAAGATAGATAACATTGTAACTCGAACCTTTTCAATACAGCTAGTTATTCTGCTTCCCTTTTAAAACCGAAAATTTGTTTGAGTTGGGTTTCGGTGTTTCCAAAATATTAAACTGAGTACTATTGCTTGGCTGTATTTGAATAAACGCGGTAAAGATCAAACCTTAACGCGGTCACCGCTTCTGTGTCTGTAGTTACTGTAAGAGGCATTAAAGAAATAAACCCCAGAAGACGTAATCAACATTTTTTTCGATTTATAAGTTTATTTTTACCTTTCAGTTGTTTAATTAATACAAATTAAATCCATCAGCATTAAAAAAACTCTGCGACGAATTGAGCAATCAACAGTACTATCCATCATCAAATCAGCGTAATAACCCACGCGGGATGTTGGAGAACACGAGAAAAGTCTGTAAAGCCTGTAAAACGACAGAAAGTGTGGTCTATTCTATGGGTTTCAATAAACAATAGGTCTTTACTTATTTTGTAAAATGTAGTATTCCAGAATGAATCATTTCCAACCGAGCTACATTCCATGACAAAAGTAGACACAAATCTGGAGCCCAACAGATAATTTCGTTAATGGCTCCTCAGAAAAAGGTGCATTACAACTTTTCTAATTTTGAATGGCCACCGGTGCCCACAAATTTCCTAAAATTTTAAGACATAACCCGTGATGTAGAAGTGACGAAAAATTGCACATTCCGTAGGATCGTTATCGGTAACTAGAGAGCTTGCTTACTAAAGCTAGCTATTGAAGACTTGTTGCCAGGCAGTTTGTCGTTTTCTATCAAATCAGTCAATCATCACTCACTCGATCAGAAAAAAAAAAAAAAGGCATTATCAAACAATTGTCTTACGTTGTTACGAAAAACGCTCGTCGTGTTCTTGTGGATGTCGTCTTCTTGCTGTTACACCGCTGAGAGTTGTATTTCCGTGTTGTTCCGTTCTTTCCACAGGTCCGCTACGACGAGCAGTGGGTTCCCTGGCTATTTCTGGGACACTCTGATCATGATTCGTTCTGGTGAGTTCCGTGAGAGCTTCTTGATTTCTTGGTGCCTGCATGTTTCGTATCATAAGGAGGAGTTTGATAATACAGCACGTTACCACAACCATCAAGATGAAGCAAGCAGCGTTAAGTGGCTCAGTCTCCATGACGGAGAAGAAGAGAGCCCAGCAAGGAAAAAAAATATTTCGAATGAAAAATAGAACTTCTTACTAATTCATAAACGTTTCTCCTCCAGAAGCACAAGTGTTTATAGACACGGGCCTAATCAATTGTGGTCGATATTTGCTTCAAAGCGAGGTTTTGGCAATCTATTTTAATGAATGTCTACGTAATCATTATGGTTAAGATCACCAGCTTTCTCTGAAAGGCCAATATAAGAGCATCGTGTTTACCTTGAAAGCGGAAGCATCCTTATTACCTTTTGTCGGTATTCATGGTTTACTTATCAGTTGGTCATGGTTGACTGCAAAGAAGTAATTTTTAGCTGAACTTTCATGACATATATAATGCATTCTATTTTGAATGTTCACAGATTTCTGAGTTCACATGATGAGCTAGGCCACTGATAATTTCATTTATGGCTCCTCAAACGAGGGGCGCATTACAACTATTCTAGTTTTGAATAACTACAGGTGCCCACATATTTCCTAAAATTCCGCAAGATCGTTATCGGTAACCTATTGAAGACTTGTTGCCAGGCAATTTCTCGTTTTCTATCAAATCAGTCCAAAGTTTGTTCTTGTGGACCTGCAGTAGTGTCTTTTTCCATTTCGGAAAATATGACGTCATGGACGCGCATGAAGACTATGATAGAAGTACGATGACAAGAAATGAAAAAGGCATTATCAAACAATTGTCTTAAGTTGTTACGAAAAACGCTCGTCGTGTTCTTTTAATTATTTTAAGCGGGATGAAGTATGTTTAGTTTGGATTTTCTCCTCAGAGAAACTGAATAAGCATGTGTAGAATCAACGTTTTCCCTTCTTTCGTGGGTGCGTGGATCGTCCAAGCACTAGTTACGTCCGTTAGTTTGCTTTCCACAATACGGCCCAGTGATTTTTTTTGTTTTTACTACATTCTCTGCGATTGCTTTCAAAGGCTTTGAGGTCGATTTTGGCCGTCGATGGAAAATCGCGATTAAACTAAGCAATTTTCAGTGATTTTAAGTTTACGAGTCTTCACTTGTTTTTGTTCGTCGTAGTCACTTTCCTATTTGCATACAAGACACAAGCTCAGGTGGAACTTCGAACAACTACTAATTCTTCATTATTCATGAAGTCTTGCTCCTCCAGATACAAGAGAGTTTGTGTTTATAGGCAGAGGCCCAATCAGTGAATGAGTTGGCAGTGGGTTCCCTGGCACTCTGTAGGCACTTTGATCCGTTCTAGTAACAGCTCCTTGATTCCCTGATACCTGTATGTTTCTTACCTTGAAATATAGTTTGATCAGCACGTAACCACAATCACCAAGATAAAGTAAACAACAGCATGTGACAACGGGTGTTCACGACATTTCAGTTTATGCAGGTGATTTCATTGTTGACTGACCTCTCTTAAATAAGACTTTTGAGGTTTGTCAGGAGACAATTGTTCAACTAGACTACAGGCAGACCTACGACCGTCGTGCAATCATGTTGAGTAATATGAATGAATTCTGAACCGTCAACATAGCAGATTACTTATTCCTCAATAATCAACTGAATAAGCAATATTTTAAAAATTGAACGAAATTTCTCTATAATAATTTATTATTTACACCATTCAGGTATTGCCTACCTTCGGTAAGTCCATTTAGGTAATATTAGCGTGCCTGATAATTATACAGTTGCCATTAGGTTCGCTTAACGCCTTTGGTTACAGCTCTTTGCATCGTAAGCATCTTTCCTTAAACCGTTGTGTGCGGTTTTCAGAGCTTTTTTTTCGTTCTCGAGATTTTTGTCGTTTTAAGTTTCCAAGCTGCGGATGGGTGAATTGGAATGTTCGTTCAAGCGAAACTGCTTAATTGTATGCGGTCTCAGCGACTTAGCGACTCGACTGTGGCCACCTGTTCTTTTGAAAATAATATCTAAAAAGTAGCTAAAAAAAAGTACCGGGCTCGAGAGCGGCATAAACTGGAAAACTGAGGAACTGATTTAAAGGCACTTAAAATAATTAAAAGGCTTCAACTCCTGTCACTTAACCTTATAGGAGGTCATGGAGCATACTCTTTGTTTTAGTTTTTTTTGGAACACAATTCAAGAGGCATAGCATAGCCAAAACAACTCGTGTGCTGCTATTCGGACAGGAAATTTACTTCTGGCGGAAATTGGTAGTAGTCACTCCCACTAATTATAATTTTTGAAACAATGACCAGCATTTTCGTGAAATAAAGTTTACTGTTCACATTATAAATATCTAAAACAATGTAATGATTACAGAAATATAACAAAAACTGAAAGAATACAAATTGAGATGTTTTTGAGACACTAATCACGATATGAATAGATGGCGAACTGTGTCCGTCTGATAAATTGATGGAACACCAGGAACAATGTATCCTAGAGGGAGAAGGCGTTCAGGGTTCTGGTTCAGCCTCCGAAAACGAAGAACCTTTGTACAGAAGGGGTCTACCTCACTTCCGGTTCTCGGTACTCCGTCAGAATCTGTTGAACAACGGGAGAGAAGATGACCCCTTCACTTTTGCGAATTTTACAATGGAAGGAGTCCCTTATGATCTCATGGCAAACATTTTCCGCGACCTGGAAGATCGACGATGGCCATTTGAAATGATGAGGAATATGTGGTCGCGAACTTGACTGACATAACTGACTATGCAAGAGTTGAAATATGCAAATTTAAGTCGTGTTTGTGTATCATAAGTTCGAGTGCAGGTATAATTTTTTCTTTACCGGGTTTTTGAAGAAGTTAGTCAAGATAAAAAACATTGTAACTAGAACCTTCTCAATACAGCTAGTTATTCTAATTCCCTTAAAACCGAAACTTTGTTTGAGGTGGGTTTCGGTGTTTCCAAAATATTAAACTGAGTACTATTGCTTGGTTCTATTTGAATAAACGCGGTAAAGATCAAACCTTAACGCAGTCACCGCTTCTGTGTCTGTAGTTACTGTAAGAGGCGATAAAGAAATAAACCCCAGCAGACGTAAGAAATTTTTTTTTAGATTTATAAGTTTATTTTTACTTTTAAGGTGCTTAGCTAACAATAATTAAATACATATATTGGCCTTAAAACAACTCTACGACAACTTGAGCAATCAACAGCACTATCCATCAGCTAATCAGCGTAATAACCTACGCGGGATCTTTATAGAACACGAGAAAAGTCTGTAAAATTGGTAAACGATAAAAAGTGTGGTTTATTCTATGGTTTACCACAAACAATAGGTCGCTAGCTCAGATATTTTGTTAAATGTAGTATTCCAGAATGAATCATTTCCAACCGAGCTACTTACTATGACAAAAGACAAATAATCTGGAGCTCAACAGATAATAGCGTTGACGGGTTCTCAGAAAAAATGCCCATTACAACTATTCTAATTTTGAATGGCCACAGTTGCCCACATATTTCCTTAAATTTTATAACATAATAGACAGGTGGTTCCTATTTTACTATCAAATCAGTGCACTCACTCAATAAAAAAAAAAACAAAGTTTGTTGACAAGTTCCCGTAGTAGTGTCGTTTTATACTCAGGATAATGCCGTCACACCCAGGAGCGCAGTAGGTGCCCAGAATCACCTGGTGAAAGAAAGAGCAAAATTTGTATAAAATGTCACAGCGCACTTTTCCAGTCTTTCATATTTAAAAAAAGCTAAAAAAAATCTTCTTATTTCCTATTGTTGCACTGAGGCCGTCGGATGCTGAATTGACTAAATGCGCTTTCAGTTATTCTGCATAACTCACATACATTTAGCGCGCATGCTCGAGGAGTGATTTGTTTTTATTCCCGACTGTAAAAGTGGTCATAAGAGGCATTCCCACGTCCACTAGAACAAGTGCAGATATAGGAGAAGAAGAATGTGATAGAAAGTACGATGAAAAAAAAAATAAAAAAGGCATTATCATACAATTGACTTACTTTTTTACGAAAACCGTTCGTCTTGTTCTTGGGGATGCCGTCTTCTCGCGGTGACACCGCCAGCAGTTGTATTTCCGTATTGTTCCGTCCTTTCCGTGGCTCTGCCACGACGAGGAGTGGGTTCCCTGGCTGTTTCTAAGGCATTATAATCATGAACGGTTCTGGCGGTTTCTGTAATAGCTCCTTGATTCCCTGATGGCTGAATGTTTCTTACCATGTGGAGGAGTTTGATGATAACGCACGTTACCACAATCATCCAGATAAAGCAAGCAGCATTAAGTGGCTCAGTCTCCATGACGGTTCAGTTACTGCTGCAAAATTGAAACAAGCCTCTAAAGAAGAGCCCGGCAAGGAAATTAAAACGTTTTTTTTAGTAAAAAGTAGAACTTACTTATTCATTGACCCTCGCTCCTTCAGATACACTAGGGTTTGTGTTTATAGGCAGAGGTCGAGTCAGTTGTGGTAGCAAACAGACCGAGGAGATGAGATTAATAATAATGATCATCCCCTGCGGTAGCAGAAAAATCTTACACCGTAGACAGTGTAATTTGTACGCCAATTCAAGGGACAAATACTTAAACAAGCAAACAACAAAACAGTTCTAGAAGTCACGACGTGATATTGGCAGTTTCGTTCTCGTAAAATGATCACATATAAAGCTATTGTGAAATATTTTCATCCTTAACATAGTTGGTAATCATTATTAAGGGATTTCTTTGTTAAAACAAGAATCGTCTGCTTAAGAGGTAAGAACATTATGAACAGAAATCATGCACACTAGGCTTTGAACGATCGAATTCATTTTGGTTTTTTTTTTCGCTGCTGTTACAATCCTCGTTCGTGTTTTTCTCCAAATTTTGATTGCAGATGTTTATGTTCATCATGCACTTCGTTTCTCTATGGTAAATTTTCTACTGGTTGTGTTTACTTTGTTTGGCTTTTTTCCCGATTCTCTTCCTCTTTTTTTCCCCCTCATTCTGCTTCATAGCTTATCCTTTTTCAAAAAATTGTTTTCTATTTGCTCGTGACTTTCAACAACTTTTCAAAATTCTTTCATCTATTTATTTATTTGTTGCCACAGATCAACGGGAACCTAATTATCAATTATAAGAGGGCAATTCTTTTGGCGACATTTATGCTTGGTTTACGTCAAACAAAAGGTAACATATTCATCTCTTCTTTATTAAACTTGATTCCAAAATTATGATGACCATATATTATTCCCAGTGGGCTCGTGAACTAACGATCCTATCGAAGCATTACGAATAGCAATTACGAAATAAAAGAATTGAGATCGGCGATTTCCTCGCTTAATGCTCATCAACGGGAATGCCAGCGTCTGGAGGAAACAGAAGATTCTCAAATCCCTCTTGTTGTGGAAGATATCGATGGTGTGTTTCGTGAAATGGTACAAACGCCTGACAATTTCACAAGCTCGGACTCGCATGACAATCAGTTGAGACCGAAAGAGAAGACAACAGCATCGTTGCTCTGCCTTGTGAAATCTGTGGCGAACTGTGTCCACCTGATAAATTGATGGAACACCAGGAACAATTCATCCAAGAGAGAGATGGCGTTCATCGTTCTGGTTCAGCTTCCGAAAAGAACGTTTGTTCACAAGCGATCTTACTTCCGGTTCTCGAGATTGCATCAGGATCAGTTAACAACGGTAGAGAAGATGACCCCTTCACTTTTCCGAATTTTACGATGGAAGGAGCCCCTTATGATCTCATGGCAAACATTTTCTGCGACCTGGAAGATCGACGATGGCCATTTGAAATAATGAGGAATATGTGGTCGTGAACTTGACTGACAAAATTGATTATGTAAGAGCTGAAATATGCAAATTTAACCCGTGTTTGTGTATCATAAGTTTAAATACAGGTATAATTTTTTTTCTTACCGTGTTTTTGAAGGAGTTGGTCAAAATAGAAAACATTGTAACTCGAACCTTTTCAATACAGCAAGTGATTATACTTCCCTTCTAAAACTGAAAATTTGTATGAGGTGGATTTCGGATTATTACTTGGTTCCATTGAACGAAAGCGTTAAAGGTCAAACCTTAAAACAACTATACGACATTTTGAGCAATAAATAGCACTACCCATCAACTAATCAGCGTAATAACTAACGCGGGATGTTTGGAGAACACGAGAAAAGTCTGTAAAGTCTGTAGGTCGCTAGTTCAGTTATTTTGTAAAATGTAGTATTCTAGAATTAATCATTTCCAAGCGAGCTACATTCCATCATAAGTAAACAAAAACTCTGGAGCATCAGATAATGTCGTTAATGGCCCGTCAAAAAAGGTGCGCATTACAACTAATCTAAATTTGAATGACCACAGGTGTCTACATGTTTCCTAAATGTTTTAGGAAGAATTGTTACCGGTAACTAGAGAGCTTACTCACTAAAGCTAAAGCTATTAAAGACTTGTTGCCAGGTAGTTTCTTGTTGCACTGAGGCCGTCGGATGCTGGATTGTTTAAATGCGCTTTCAATTATTCTGTATAGCACACACATTTAACGCGTAACCAACAAGATATTTGTTTCTATTCCCAACCGTAAAAGTGGTTATAAGAGGCATCCCCGCGTCCACGAAAACAAGTGCAGATATAAGAGAAGAGGAATATGATAGAAAGTACGATGACAAAAATAAAAAAAAGCCATGCAATTGTTTTACTTTTTTACGAAAAACGCTCGTCGTGTTCTTGTGGATGTCGTCTTCTTGCAGTTACATCGCTGGCGGTTGTATTTCCGTGTTGTTCCGTCCTTTCCACGGCTCCGCTACGACGAAGAGTGAGTTCCCTGGCTGTTTCTAAGGCATTCTGATCATGAATGGATCTTGTGGGTTCCGTAACAGCTCCCTGATTCCCTGGTGCCTGCATGTTTCTTACCATGTGGTGGAGTTTGATAACATAGCACGTTACCACAACCACCAAGATGAAGCAAACAGCATTGAGTGGCTCAGTATCCATGACGGTTCAGTTCCTGCGGCAAAATTGAAACAAGTCTCTAAAGAAGAGCCCAGCAAGGAAAAAATATATTTTGAATGAAAAATAGAATTCTTAGTAATTCATAAACTTTTTTCCTCCAGATGTACTAGGGTTTGTGTTTATAGACACGGGCCTAATCAAATGTTGTCGATATCTGCCTCTACGCGTGGTTTTGGAAACCTATTTTCATGAATGTCAACGTGCTCATCATGGTTGAGATTACCAGTTTCCTCTAAAGGGCCGATATAAAGCCAGCGTGTGTGCCTTAAAGCTAGTGTGTATGTCATAGAGCCATAACGAGCGCATATGCGCGTTATGTGCATATTACTCACGCTAGAGTGACTGATTGAAGTCCAATATTCGATCATTGATAAACAATACCCAAGGAACGAGGTTGATTAATCCACAAGAGTGACAGGATAGCGTCCTTCGACCGTGCCAGTGTCATGTTTATTGCTGGTCAAGTATCGTTAAGAAATATGTCGAATCTTCCTCACGATTTTAAATTGTTCCTTCCATTATTACTAGTACACCGGAAGTTGTTTAGAGAAGGAATTTTTTGATTACTTTGAAAACGAGAATCGTCAGCATAAGAACTAAGAATATTATGAAGAGAAACCATGCACGCCAGGCTTTGAACGATAAAATTCATGTTGTTTTTTTCGCTGCTCTTACAAGGAACAATGTATCCGAGAGGGAGAAGGCGTTCAGGGTTCTGGTTCAGCCTCT